AAAAGAGGTCAGTGCCCCTGACTAAGTAGTCAGGCGCTGCATATTTCAAAAATGCTTGCGGCTCACCAGCTGAAAATCACTGCTTCGTTTAGAAGGGTATCTGCCACCAGCGAGGTCCAGACACAACCAAAGGGAAACATACTCATATTTACATTTCGGTCAGTGTGTCTTGTAAACGGGCACGTGTCCCCCAGGGTTTGGTCCGTAAGGCAGCCTTAGAAGGGAGGGAACACCCATCACATGTGCAGGGCAGACCGAGGATTTGCCCACAGAAATCTGCAGCAGCTCCGTGCATTCACAGCCGGCAGGCCAATCCCTCTGGTGTCTTACCCGCTATTAACTGTGGCTAAGGAGAGTGGGCAAAGGGTGTGTTGGTGGGAGATGTGATACTAATACTAATTAATAAACATGCTTTAGGGCTCCTTCCTCCTCCTCCTCCTTCTTTTTCAAGTAAGCTGGCATGTTTGACCAACAACAGATTTGCTTCTTGGAAGTTTTTTTTTATTTTGTTGTTCTGAACAAGGACCCTAATTCTTCTTGGGAATAAGAGAACCTCTCTGTTGGGTATACAGTGTTCAGTGGGTCTATGAAAACACAAACCCCACTCAAGTCTCCAGACTTATTTACACAGAAAACTGAACCTGTGGCTGGCTTAGAGTCCCAGGCCCATTGTGGGCATTGTTTATTGCAATCTTCCCAGACCCCCCTGCCCCCAAACCACCACACACACACACACACCTTGAGAAAAGGACTTTTCTTTGGGTGGAAGGGGATTTGAACGAGGTTGGGTAACCACAGTGGTAGGTTACACTAACTCCTGAGCATGGGCATGGTTAATTTGGTAAAGTGGCCTAATAGAATGGTTGGTAAAATAACCAGGCTCTCCAGCACAGAATTCCTCTGTGGTGGCTGTGCCGTGGTTCTGTCCTAGCCAGCAGGGTCATCCAGGCTGTGAGCTACACCTGCCTGGCAAGAACAAACCACCACCAGGCAGTAAGTCCCGCTCCAACCCTGTGTCCGATGTATTGGGTGTCTTCTCAGCCTTAATGAGCCTCACTTTGTACAGTGAATTTGCTGAGACATCAAAAAGTATTTAAAAGAAAGTTTCCTGCTTTTTCCTAATGAGCAAGGTGAGGATTTATGGTGTGTGGGGAGGAGGTCTGGCTGTGAGGGCCAACATGGAGCTGGTCTACTTAACATGCTGCAGCTTAAGCTCCCTCCTGCATTTGGGGGTTCAGAGCGCTGAGTTACGGGAGTATAGAGACATGCAGTTAGGGAGTGAAAAAACGCCATTTGGTTTGGAGCAGATGGCTGGCTAGGGGGCTGATGGCGTCTAAAGGCGTGTCATCCCCCTTCAGCCTGAATCCCTAAGGGCTCCCCTTGTCTTCCCAATCAATGAAAATTAAAGTGCGCAGAAAGGGTGAATAGTTGGACCTCGAGTCTCTCCTTTGTTCCTCTCAGCTACTGGTGTGCAGGAGTTAAACTACAACAGGCTCCCATAGAAACACTGAAGTTAAACAGTCTCCTTCAGCTCAGCTTAGGAAGGGAGAAGGGGGAGCCCACGTGGAGTGGGAGAGAGGAGGAGGAGCAGAAGGGGGAGGAGGGAGAAAAGGAAGAAGAAAGGAGGAAAGAAGAACAGGCGAGGAGGAAGGAGAAAGACTTGTTCTGCTTGATTTCCCCAATACAGAATCTCGTGGCATAAATTAAGTTGGAAAAGAATGAACGCTTTGGGCAGGATTCTGATGGATTTTACGACGCCTTTCAGTTCCGCTTTGCCGCCGTAATCGAGAAATCTGTGCCATGTCAATTTAACAAATACTTGATCCTGAGGGGGGTTTGTTAAAGATTTGGGGCAAGTCTTTGCCCCCCAAGGTTTAAGCCCTTGCGCGTGGAACTTTTTATTTCCACTTTTTTAAACAGGCATTCAAATAAGCCTGTTTCCATTTTCTAATTAAAAGGTTCCTGATATTGCATTTCCTACTGAATCTACTCCAGTCTCGGGCGCAGAGCACTTAGAGCCCACGTTCCTGTCGGCCTCTGGGGTCCCCTGCTCCAGGAAGGCGCTCACTCCCCACCACCCACCACCACCACACACACACACACACACACACACACACACACACTGGTCTCTGTGCTGTGGGGAGCAGAGTTCTCAGAAATTAGCTGTCAGAGGAAACATGGATGTCGTGCGAAGAGGAAGCTGACGCTAGGTGGCAAGGTTAAATTAGGATTGGCCGCCTGTGTGGAAGCGAGTCCAGGCGGGAGCAGCCCAGGCGGGGAGCGCCCTCCGTCCTGCGTGTAGCCTCGCCAGCAGCTTCCATTTGCTCAGAACCAAACGGCAGGAGGTTCTGGCGGGGTCTGGCCTGCCTTCCTCACCTCCGCCTGAAACGTTACCTGCGATTAATTCTCTGCTTCTCTAAGGAGGCAGCGGTGGGAACCCTGGAGTGTGTGTACTTGTGGACCCCAAACCGTAGGGGTGTCTGGGAGCCACAGAAGCAGGACCCCAGTTGCCTAACTGGAAGGACTCCGTGGACAACTAAGTGACTTGTAGAGGCTGTTTACAGTGAGTTTACTTTGTATTTATGAACTTTGCCATCTTGACGTCTGTCGCACTGAAAGCCCACTTTTGCCTGAACGGTGCCCGTCCCCACCAATCAGGTGGCACCCACAGCGAGGCCCTGGCCAGCACCCAGGCTGCGAGGCCGTGCAAGGGACACTTCTCCAACACACACCTTTGGCCCCGTGAGCCGCGCGGGGCAGGGCGAGAAGGCGGAGCAGCGATGGGAGAGACCTCGGCGCGCGCCCGGCACAGAGCTGGATGCCAGAGTAGGAGTGTGCGCCCCACCTTAATTCTGCCTTGAGCCCGCAGCATGAGAGCAATTTCGATAATTCATTGTGTGATACGTGTGTTCTCGGCCCTCCCAATAAACTCATTTCCCTTTTTAAAACTGAAAACAAAAGTTCTAGTGTCTGATGGACGTGTACAAACCTAATAAGGTGATGGCTGTGTAAAGGTTGCGGGCTGGGGGGCGGGTGGAGGTCTGGGAGCATGTGCCGGACATTGTTGCAGAGGCCGGGGCGCGCGAGGGGCTCTTTCTCTCGCGTTGTGCGGGAGCAGGTGCGGCCCGCATTACCATACAGCTGAGCGCACAAAGAGCCCCTGATCCAGGCTCGCACAATAACAGGCTGCCTTAATGACAGCCACGCGAACGACACACACCGAACTCACTTTTTACCAAGCAGAGGGAGGCTGAGGGGGGATATACCCAGGAGAGAGGGGCCGGAGACCCAGGAAAGCGGCCGCGGCCGAGAATCGCGCCGGGAAGGGTGCGCGTGTGCACTGGGAGCGAGAGAGACTGCGGTTTAAGGCGGCAGGATCTCCCGGCTGGGGGGACGCGCTGCCGGGATCCCGCCCCCACAGCAGCAGCGGGGTGGGGTGGGGTGGGGGTGGGGTGGGGTGGGGTGGGGTGGGGTGGGGTGGGGTGGGGTGGGGGGCACTGCGCTGGCCGCCAGCCCTGCCCGGCTTGCGGGCTCTGCGTTCCCAGACGTTGAGTCGGGTCCTGGGCCAGGAGGTGGGTGGGTGTCAGACCATCCCAAACTTCTCGAAACTGCCGATGTGCTCTCGCCACCCTCTGCCTGCTGCTCGCGCCCGCCCCTGTCCTACCGTGCCCCCGGCCCCCTCGCTCGGAGACTCCTCCTTCGGAAGAGGCCGCCCCCGAGAAGGCGGCCCGCCAGGAACCGGGCCTCTAACTTCGCTCCCCCCTCCCATCCCCTGAGCCCCGGGACGTGGGCGCGAGGAGACGGTGGGCGGGCACCACGGCCGGGACAGTCTGCCAGCCCGTGTCCAGCGCACAAGTCCGGTTGCGCTCCGCAGGCGGGAGGCGCGGCGCCGCGGTGTCACCGTGGGCCTCCGCGAGCCTGTGGCCCGGGAGGTGGCCGAGGAGGCCGGGCGGTGGCACTAGCTTCGGGATCCGAAGGGACTCTAGCAGGGAACATTTTGCAGGAATGTAAATGAGTGCGTTTTGTGTCGAGAGGGAGGAAGGGGGGTGCTGGGGGCGGGCGCAGGGGGAGGGCCGGAGGCGGGGAGGGGTGGGGGCGGGGAGGAGGGTTGCACATTTTACAGCTCACTGACCATTTGGCGATCCATTGAGAGGAGGGTTTGGAAAAGTGGCTCCTTTGTGACAGCTCTCGCCAGATTGGGGGGCTGCTCATTTGCATCTCATTAGCCATGCGGGCGGCCGGAGGTATATAAGGGCGCGGCGCTGGCGAGAGCCAGACCCTCGGCGCGCACCCGCGGGACCGGCGGCCAGGGCGGATCGCTGCGGAGGACGGGCCGCGGCGCGCAGAGCCTCCTCCCACGACCCGCCGCGGCTCCGCGTGTGTTTACTCGGATGGCACTGGCTGGGTTCCTCGGAACGACGCGAGTATCTGCGGCGGCACAGGAGATACCAGGGGCCCAGGCTGCTTCCGGAGCGCCCGCCGCCGCTGAATGACCCGGCTCGGCCCGCGCCACACTGGCCCCGGATTATCGCCGCGCCCGTGGATTGCCCGATCGCGCCTCTAACAGGACTCGGAGGAGACTCCGCTGTTCCCTGGGAACTAAGCTGACGGTCTGGACGTTTTCTCTCCCCCTCCCTCTCTCTTTTTTCCTGCGAAGACGCCTAAGACAAGACCAGGAAGCAGACGACCTTTCCCCACTCGTGGATTGAAAGAAAGAGGAGAAAACCGAAAGTTGCTGCTCCAGGGGCAATATCTCCGAGCGAGCCCCGTTCCCCGCGCGTCCCCAGCTGCCTCGGCCGCCGAGGGCGATCCAAGGCGTTTCGGCCTGGACCGAGCCTGCCGGGTCCCGAGAGAAAGGAGCCCTGGTCGTCCCAGCCGGGCAGAGGCGCCCTCCCTGCCCTCGCCGGTCGGTGCGCACTCAGCCCCTCGCGCCCCCAGCTGCTGCTTTAAGAAGAGAACCGGTGGAACGCCAGGAGAGCCAGCGCGTCGGGCGGTGCACCATGGGCCGCCGGTGCGCCCTGGCCCTCGCCGTGGTCTCGGCCCTGCTGTGCCAGGTGAGTTGTCAGGAGCCCTGTGGGGTAAGGTCGCAGGACGCGCGGGTGCAGACTGTGGAGCGAAAGTGAACCGGCGGCCCCCGCCCCCCAGCTGCCGCGCGCTCACGCCGCGTCCTCCCCGCAGGTCTGGAGCTCGGGGGTGTTCGAGCTGAAGCTGCAGGAGTTCGTCAACAAGAAGGGGCTGCTGGGCAACCGCAACTGCTGCCGCGGGGGCGCAGGGCCGCCGCCGTGCGCCTGCAGGACCTTCTTCCGCGTCTGCCTCAAGCACTACCAGGCTAGCGTGTCCCCGGAGCCGCCCTGCACCTACGGCAGCGCGGTCACGCCGGTGCTAGGCGTCGACTCCTTCAGCCTGCCCGATGGCGCGGGCGCCGACCCCGCCTTCAGCAACCCCATCCGCTTCCCGTTGGGCTTCACCTGGCCGGTGAGCGCCTCACCTGCGCGGGGCGGGGCACGCGGGGGCCTGGGCGGCGGCAGGGTGACAGCCGGGGCAGGGTGAGGCAGAGGCGGGGACCCTGGACGCTTCCGTATCCGGACTCTGCACCCAGCCCCCAAGTCGAGTGAGTGCCGTCTGTGGGAAGGTCCTAGGCCCCTGCTCTTAGACAAGCTGGTCCCATGGTCAGCCCCTCAGCGTGGCAGCCCCAGACCCCGCTGCGTGGGTCCATCCCTTGAAGACTGAGGACAGCCCCGCTCAAGCCCCGCCCGCTCCAGCACAGTCTTTTTTTTTTTTTAATGTGATATCCTGTACTAACAGGCTGAAAAAACACGCCAGGAAACCACTCTTTAAGTTCTTCCATTTCCTTGAGGAAAGTGAAAACAGGCGACAGATGTAGAGATCCTCCCCAGGACGCACTGCACATGCAGATCCTCCCTGGGGCGCACCCTCCCCAGGGCGCACTGCACACGCAGACCCTCCCCGGGACGCACTGCACACGCAGACCCTCCCCGGGACACACTGCACACGCAGACCTTCCCCGGGACGCACTGCACACGCAGACCCTCCCCGGGACGCACTGCACACGCAGACCCTCCCCGGGACGCACTGTACACGCAGCTCCTCCCTGGGACGCACCCTCCCCAGATGCACTGCACACCAGATCTGCAGCCACCAGGCCCTCCCTGACTTGTCCCCAGTGCTCTAAGTGTTGAAGAGACATTTCTAGTTTATCTTGTCTCCTCCCCTTCTCCCAGGGCACCTTCTCTCTGATCATTGAAGCTCTGCATACAGATTCTCCTGACGACCTTGCAACAGGTAAACGCAAAACAAAAAAACTCCCAAACTGCTCCCCTCGTTAATATTATTTGAGTCCCTGTCTTCCCAGAGACAAACGTGTGCACCCTCATTCTGCACGTTCCTGCAGGAGCTTCAGGACAGAGGGTCTGGGCCCTTCCCTTGCAGTGTGCATCTGTCCCCCCGAGTCCCAGCCTCTAGGTTCAGAGCCAGAACCCACAGGAGCCTCCTCTTCCCACAGAAAACCCAGAGAGACTCATCAGCCGCCTGGCCACGCAGCGGCACCTGACTGTGGGTGAGGAGTGGTCCCAGGACCTGCACAGCAGTGGCCGAACGGACCTCAAGTACTCCTACCGCTTCGTGTGTGACGAGCACTACTACGGGGAGGGCTGCTCCGTCTTCTGCCGCCCCCGGGACGACGCCTTTGGCCACTTCACCTGCGGGGAGAGGGGGGAAAAAGTGTGTAACCCTGGCTGGAAAGGCCAGTACTGCACTGAAGGTGGGTTCCATGGAGAGCAGTCTGCTTTCCTCAGTTTACTTACTTTCCTGGGAGTGGTGGAGCTTTCTGTGGGCTGGGATCCAGGCTGTTCGCACCGCAGAGGTGTTCTGGTGGGGGAACCAGATCTGGGGAGTTGGAGAGACTTGCCAAGACCTCAGTCAGCCAGGCTCGGGGTTGGGGTCAACTCAGACTTTTTAACTTCCGTTATGGGAAGCTGCCCTTCTTAATCAGGGAGGATTTTGGAGACAGGGCCAGGGGTCAGGAAGTCAGTGGGGGAGAGGGAGGGGAGGAAGGAAGGGAGGAACAGAGAGCAGTGTTGGTGTGTAGGGGCTGCTGCAAACCAATTCTCTGCTGGGACAGAGTCTCACTGGAAAGAGCTTAATGCTCTCTGAGGCTGGAGTGCCTGGCCTCTTCCCAGAGCTCACGTGCTTGCGAATACCCGACGTGACACGCACACACTGTACGACATTGTCCCCCGCGGGGGGCTGGGGGCAGGAGGAGGGTTACGTGCAGGCTGGGTGTGCCAGACCTGTGTGGGAGGGCCCTCCGCACCTTGTTTGGGAAAGAGATACTTTACAAGTGGCCTAGGCCCTTCCTGCCCAGGATTCTCCTGGCAGCCAGGACAGAACAGGCAGCTGCTCTGAGGTTGCAGGAAACCAGGGCAGGGGGCGTGGGGGCTTGTGAGGACCCTGTTGGCTCCTGGGCCTCTCCCCAGCCTGCTAAGTCCACACTGCTGCCTGCAGACCCAGGGGTCAGATTTCCCTCCAGCCAGGGTGGGTCCCGGAGCTCCTCAGACCCCGGTGACTTCTCCTCTCCTGCCCTGGAGGAGCAGCCCTCCCCGAGGTGCTCATGGGCTGTACCTGGGCGAGGGTGGCCCGTCACTGTCCCCGTCACTGTCCCCGTCACTGTCTCCCAGCTTTCCCGAGCTCCTGCAGCCCCAGTGTCTCTGTTGTCTTAAAACTGTGCAGAGGGGCTTGTCCAGGAGTCTCACCACCAGGCGTAAGCACGCGCAGGAAGCCGGCCAGCCCCAGCCTCCCCCCTCGGACTGCCCTCTCTTCTCTGTGGGTAGCCATAAACTCAAACTTTTTTCTTCTTATTCAAACACTGGCGTCTCTCCCCGCCCCCAGTGCGCGCGTGCCATCCATTAGATCTCGGCAGGGATAGGTGCACGGACGCACGCCCGCTCTCATTGGCGGAAAGGCCGCGCGTGCATGTGTGTGTGGTGTGTACACGCTGGGGTGTGTGAGGGTGGGGGCCGGGGTGAGGGCCGCATTGTTGCACGGGGCAGCTGCTGGGAGAGGGAAGACAATGGAGCAGCTGTCTGGCCCTGGCCCTCTGCAGACCAGCTGTCCACCCTCATCTACACACACTTTCTGGGTATTAAGAGGTGGAGCTTTTGTGCACAGAATCGGGAAGTGGGGGAGGAGGCGGGGAAGGACTTCTGACCCTCTCTTAGAAGAAAGGGGGTGAGGTGGGGGTGGGGGCTTCCGAGATCTTTTGTCCTCGAGGGGCTGTGTTAAGAAGAACACTCACCCTGGCTGAGTAAAGTCCACGGTGACCAGGCAGGACGGAGCCCGGCGGGCTGTGGGCAGGCGGCCGCCGTGCCGGGCAGCCCTGGGCGTGACCTGTGTCCTCTCTCCCTGCAGCAATCTGCCTGCCTGGGTGTGACGAGCAGCACGGCTTCTGTGACAGGCCGGGGGAGTGCAAGTGAGTCTGGGGGCACCGCCTCCAGGGCAGGCTCGGGGAAGGCCAGCGGGTGGGCTGTGGAGGACGTGGAGACGGGGAAGGTCACGGGTGGTCAGCTCAGCTCGCTGGTTGCAGGAACCTCAGACAGCAGGTGGAAGATGGCAGTTGGACCCGTGGCATTAGGACTCGCTGGGGGTGCCTCTGGCACTGCTGCCTGGTGACCCCAGGATCGGACCCTCGGAGGTCCTGAGGGAGTCCCTGTCCTGCCCGCTGAGAACCAGAGGGGCAGGAGCCGCTGGGAGGCAGGCTCCTGGGCGTGGACGCTGGGCCCTCACTGTCCTCTCCTCAGGTGCAGAGTGGGCTGGCAGGGCCGGTACTGTGACCAGTGCATCCGCTACCCCGGCTGTCTCCACGGCACCTGCCAGCAGCCTTGGCAGTGCACCTGTCAGGAAGGCTGGGGGGGCCTGTTCTGCAACCAGGGTAAGCCTCCTGTCTGCCCCCGGGCTCCGGCTTCAAACAGGGAGGTGTGCCTCCCCGAGTCTAACCCTGGGCTCCCTCCTGCTCTGCCCCCAGACCTCAACTACTGCACCCACCACAAGCCCTGCAAGAACGGGGCCACCTGCACCAACACGGGCCAGGGGAGCTACACCTGCTCGTGCCGGCCTGGCTACACGGGAGCCACCTGTGAGGCCGAGGTGGACGAGTGTGGCACCGGCCCCTGCCGGAACGGGGGCAGCTGCACGGTGAGTCCCGGCTCAGCGGCTCGGCGGCCGAGTGGGCCCTGGTTGGACATGGACTGCGCGGGTCTCCCGGAGCAGCGCTAAAAAGGCTTTCCGTGTTCTCCGTCACATAGGATCTTGAGAACAGCTACTCCTGCACCTGTGCACCCGGCTTCTACGGCAGAGCCTGTGAGCTGAGCGCCATGGCCTGCGCGGACGGCCCTTGCTTCAACGGGGGGCGGTGCTCAGACAACCCCGAGGGTGGCTACACCTGCCGCTGCCCTGCGGGCTTCTCCGGCTTCAACTGCGAGAAGAAGGTGGACCCCTGCAGCTCCGCACCCTGTTCTAACGGTAGGGGCCCCTCGAGGCTCTGCCCCGTGTCAGCGCCGACGAGGGCGCCGAGCTCGAGTTCAGTCCCAGCCAGGCCCGCAGCTTTGCCGAGTCCATGGAGCCCTTGAATCTGAACAGAGCTCTTTGTAGAGGTTTCGTCCTGAGTCCGGAGACGCCCGCGCAGGGAGGCAGGGAGGCAGCCAGGCTTCCACCCTCAGGTTGCTCAGGGAGAGCCTGTGGCGAGAGGCCTGGCGAGAGGCCTGGCGAGAGGCCGGGGCCCCTTCCCGTGCGTGCAGCCCGTGGCCCTCTGACCAGGCCCTGCTGCTGCCGGTCGTACTTCCAGCTGCGTCCAGCCCCTGGGATCGGAGAGAGGCCGGCTCCGCACTGCCCCCAGCCCTCGGGTGTGCCCTAGTGAGCCGTGGGGCTGGGACGCCCTGCGCACGCTCAGGGAGGGAAGCAGGGCCCCAGACAGGCCGGACCTTCTGGAAGCTTCCGGAGCTCCACCATTAGACAGGGTGGTGGGGAACCTCACTGCTCAATCACTGAATGGGAGGAGGGTCCCGTCAGCGGCACAGAAGGTGTGGCCGTCCCGTGTGCCGGCTGTGGCCTGTGAACCCCCTTCAGTGAGGCAGCTAGCTGGAGGCTCAGCAGACGGGCTCAGGAAGGACACCCCTGCCCCTCGGTCCACCCCTGCCCTTCTCCTGCTCCTCTTGAGCGGGCTGTTCGTCGGGCCGTGGGGCAGTCTGTGCCAAAGCGCAGGTGCCCCAGGACACAGGCGGCCTCAGCGCTGGGGGGAACCTGCCGGCCTCTCCGGGGGCGACGGGGGGGCGATGGGAGGTGGCGGGCTGTGCTCGCTGTCCTGAGCGTGACGTCCCTCAGGCCGCCTGGCTGTCCTTGTCTGTCCGCGTTTGCTGGGTGTGAGTGACCGACCGCCCCGTCCATGTTCCAGGCGCCCAGTGTGTGGACCTCGGCGACGCCTACCTGTGCCGCTGCCGCAGCGGCTTCTCCGGGCGACACTGTGAGGACAACGTGGACGACTGCGCCTCCTCCCCGTGTGCCAACGGGGGCACCTGCCGGGACGGCGTGAACGAGTTCTCCTGCACCTGCCCCCCCGGGTACACGGGCAGGAACTGCAGTGCCCCGGTCAGCAGGTGCGAGCACGCGCCCTGCCACAACGGCGCCACCTGTCACGAGCGGGCCCACCGCTACCTGTGTGAGTGCGCCCGCGGCTACGGGGGCCCCAACTGCCAGTTCCTGCTCCCCGAGCCGCCCCCGGTGCCCGTGGTGGTGGACCTCACCGAGAAGTACGTGGAGGGCCAGGCTGGGCCGTTCCCCTGGGCGGCCGTCGGCGCCGGCGTGGTGCTGGTCCTCGTGCTGCTGCTGGGCTGCGCCGCTGTGGTCGTCTGCGTGCGGCTGAGGCTGCGGAAGGGCCGGCCCCCCCCCCGACCCCGGCCACGGGGAGACGGAGACCATGAACAACCTGGCCAGCTGCCAGCGTGAGAAGGGCCTCTCCGTCAGCGTCATCGGGGCCACGCAGATCAAGAACACCAACAAGAAGGTGGACTTCCACGGGGACCACGGCACCGACAAGAACGGCCTCAAGGCCCGCTACCCCGGGGTGGACTATAACCTGGTGCAGGAGCTCAAGGGAGACGCCGCCGCCAGGGACCCCCACAGCCAGCGGGACACCACGTGCCCGTCCCAGGGCTCTGCAGGGGAGGAGAAGGGCACCCCGACGCTCAGGGGGTGCGTGCTCTGGGCTAGGAGGGCCAGGTGGGAGGCCAGCCAGGGAGGGCTCCCCATTGTCGGGGGTGCGGGAGGCCAGGCGGGGCAGGCGGGTGTTCTCCCCGGAGCCCGGCCGCCTTTCCATCCGGAGACGCTTGCTCACGTTCACTGGTCTGTCCGCTTCCCTTCCAGCGGAGAGGCCCCCGAGAGGAGGCGGCGGGACTCTGTGTACTCCACTTCGAAAGACACCAAGTACCAGTCGGTGTACGTCATATCCGAGAAGGACGAGTGTGTCATAGCCACTGAGGTGGGCGTGGGCTCGGCCCGCGGGCTCGGTCCCCGGACCTGTGTCTCGGCGCGCGGCTAACCCTTCTGTCTTGTTGGTCCCTCCAGGTGTAGAATTGAGGTGACATGGCAGAACCCCCGTTTCTCTTAAAATAAATAGAATTCCAAGGATCTATGCCCCAAGGGATGCTGCTGAGAGGGAAGGAGAGCCCGTCAGGACGCCTGTCGGACTCTGCCTTTTCACGACGTCTCCATTGCACTATGGACAGTTGCTTTTAAGAAAATATATATTTAAGTGAATGGACTTACGACATGAGACGCATGCACAGCCTGAGTGTATATTTTGGATTCTTATGAGCCAGTCTTTCTTGAATTAGAATCACAAACACTGCCTTTATCGTCCTTTTTGATACTAAAATGTGTTTTTTCTAGGTGGAAAAAGATGTGTGTTATTTTTTGGACTTGTACAAATATTTTTCATGATATCTGTAAAGCTTGAGTATTTTGTGATGTTCATTTTTTTATAATTTAAGTTTTTGGTAAATATGTACAAAGGCACTTCAGGTCTATGTGACTATATTTTTTTGTATATAAATGTATTTATGAAATATCGTGCAAATGTTATTTGAGTTTTTTACTGTTTTGTTAATGAAGAAATTCCTTTTTAAAATATTTTTCCAAAATAAATATTATGAATGACAACCTGAGGCGTGCTGACTTTGCTGTACGAGCCCCGGGGACAGGCAGGCAGGGCTCCCGGATCCCATTTTTAATTGACTGGTTTCACTGGACTGGGTGAGGGCGCCTTCCTGCTCCTGTGCCCACCAGACAGCCTCTCAGCGGTCACGACCGGCCCGACTGGAGGGGCAGGCCCCTCGGGCGCCTGGGCAGCTGGGCCGCAGACCTGGCCACCCTCCTTCCGAGTCTTCCTCTCTGAGAACTGGACAGAGCCTCCGTTGGGATCAGACGTCCACAGGGAGCTTCCGCATCACCATGGCAAAGGCGTTCTGTCTTGGGCTGATACTGGTTCATCAGTTGGTTCGTGGGTTTATTTCCAGTTAATTCAAAAGAGGTGCTGCCTTCTCATCCAACTACAGCGGTGGTGGGACGGACGTGTCACGGTAAGAACCACGACCGCGCCAGAGCCGGAGACGCTGTCCGTGTGTCGTCTCTGGTCCTGGCGGTCTGGGTGCCCTTCCCGGGCACAGCGGCGGAGACGGGCCTGGAGAGGGACGGCACTTGCTCACAGTGCACGTGGCTCCGTCCCGTGTGAGTCTGGGCCGTCCGGCTCCTGATCCCAGCTCAGCTCGTCAGTCGTGTGTCAGAGAACCAGACCCGTCACCGGTGCGAGGGGTGGTCCAGGGGGTGGCCGAGGTGCTTCTCGGGCGGCCGGTCCACTTCCAGGTTGGAGGGGAACAGGCGGGCGGTCTCCTTGCCCTTGTCCAGGGTCGAAGGAGGTCATGGCCCCGGTTGTACAGTCAGAAATTCTGGAGTCTCCCGGGGCAGAGGTGGTGTGTTAACTGGGCACACGTCCACCCGTGTGTGTGAACGGTGGACATGCGGCTGGAGACCAGCAGAGCCACCGTCAGGGCACAGGGCACACGCCTCTGCCAGTCTGTGTCTGACGTGGACCCAGCCTATCCTGACTCCCTGGCTTTGACTGTGAATAAGCCCCAAAGGCAAGCACACGGGAAGGAGGAGGTCAGTGGGGGGCTTCCCAGCCCCCTAGCCTGCCCCTTGCTGACGTGAGAGGTGCAGCAGCACCCCCAGAACAGGGGCGATCACCAAGGGTCCTCCTGCCGGCAGGCTCTGGCGAGGGGGTGAGCTCGGGCGATGTGAAGATCTTCCTTCTACTTTCAGAAGTGACCCGACTTGGTAACACGTTAAACGGCTCATCTATTTTCAAGACTAAGGAACATGCTGGCTTCTTGTCAAGTCCATTCCGCGAAGAGAAAGACCTCGAAGTTCGTACAGGCAGCTTCCGTTTCGTCTTCCCGACCTTCTGCAAATCGGGGAATGCCCTGTCCTTCCTCTTTGGCCAGCAGGACACCGGCTGAGGAGCACGCCGAGACCCAACCCTGGCGGCCTGGGCTCCCGAGTCCCTCCCGGCGCTGCCGATTCAACGTGCTGGTCAATCAGGTGGTCCCTCCGTGTGCGGGTTCAGGCCCCTTGTGGCGGGAAATCAGGTACACCAATCAAAACCGGCCATGTACATACCTGTACACACTCGGGCACACTCGGCCAGCTGTGACCGTCATGCCAGGCAGCACCCAGCACCCAGCCGCTGGTCATGACCTCCCAGTGCCACCAGCAGTGGGAAGGACGGGACAACCCTGTGCTCACGACTCGAGTTAGAATTAGCCCCAGGGCCAGGCTGCGGCCTGGGAAGGGCTGGGCCCTCTGCTCAGCCCAGGCCACCCCCAGGCCCCGGATGCTGGGACTTGGGTGGAGCCTGAGGAAGGTGAAGCACATTTCTCCGTGTTTCCTTGAACTTTGCGCGTCCAGAGATGTTGCAAGCGTAGCACTGAGTTCTCCCGGCCCCAGGGCGGTGGCTCCGCCCTCCCTCTGCTCTGTTGGTTTCTTCAGCCAGTGAGCCGGCAGCAGCAGACTCAACCACCTCACTCCTCTTTCAAAACTCTGTCTGTCGTGATTTTACTTTTTATTTTTATTTTTTTTATCCTCACCCAAGGACATTTTTGCATTCATCTCCAGATAGAGGGGGAGGGAGAGAGGAAGAGAGAGAGCGAGAGAGAAACATTGATGTGAGAGAGACACATCGAGTGGCCGCCACCCACACCACCCCAACCAGGGCTGGGGACGAACTACAACAGAGGTACGAGCCCTTAGCAGGAACCGAACCCGGGACTCTCTGGTCCGCAGGCTGATGCTCTAACCGCTGAGCCAAACCGGCCAGGGCGTCTTTATTGATTTTAGAGAGAGAGGAAGGGAAAGAGAGAGAAACATCAATGTGAGGGAGACATGTCAATCAGCTCCCTCCTGCTCACACCCCACACCCCGACAGGGGATGGAGCCCACATGGGCATGGGCCCCGACCAGGAATCGAGGGCGATGCTCCCACCACTGAGTCACGCCGGCCAGGGCCTGAATCACTCTGCAGTGACAGTCCTCACTGTCGTCCTGTGATGCTGGGACGGCCCTCTGCACCTGCCATCGGCTCTCCGAGCTCACCTCACCTGCAGGCCACGGCTGCCAAGGTGCCCGGCCGCGAGGCGGCCCTTCCCAGACGCCTGTTCTGTTAGCAGACTGTGCCCGCGACGGTGTTTCTAACGTCGTGGCTTCGTGAACCTCGACACAATGAGCATTTACCGAGATGTGAACAGATGACCCGTGGGGAAGCTGCCGAGAAAGGTCCGCGTTGACTGCCTGCAGACACGACCCCACACACGACCCCACACACGAGCTCCGCACGCTGGCGAGGGGCACGCTGAGCAGACAGCCCCCGGCACCGTTGACGAGGGCGGTGTGCAAAGAAAATCGAACAGGAATCTGATCAGACCTGTCCATCTAGTTAGCTGTTCACAGAACGGCAGGCGACGGGGGCTCGGATCGACTCACCGGACCCAGGAACCAGCCGGGGAAGTGGCCGGGGAAGTGGCCGGGGCGGGTCCTAGACGGGAGGCGCCTGATGGAAATGTGCACTGATGCACATTTGATGGCATTAAGGTCTATTTAAATTTTTCAGATGTGAGAGGTTATTACTGTTAAGTTAAACTAAACAAGAGTCTTCAAGAGAAAATTTCTGAAATATTTATGGATGAAACATGACTACGTCTGGGATTTGCTTCAGAATGACTCGAGATGGGCGTGGCGGCCCGCGGGCGGCGGTGCCCGCTGCGGGGGGGCGCCGAGGGGTCACACCTCGGGAAGACGCTCAGACAGGTGGCCCCCACGGCAGTGACCGGGAGGCTCCATCTTTGCGGACGTGGACTGAGATCGGAAAGGACCGAAGCCGAACCATCCAGTGAGTGGACGTGGAGGGTTCCGATCCAGCTTCTGCCTGCTCTGTCCAGGCACCGGTGACTGTCACCTGCTGAACCGCCGAGGAAGCGCACAGGGGTCTCTGCTGGGCAGCAAGGGCCCCGTTTCCGTGGCGCCAGTGAAGGCTCCCGAGGCAGAGCCCAAGGGGGCCGTCCCGCTGCCTCAGTGCCCACTCGAGGCCCTTCGCTGGGTCCTCCGGGCCTTGGCGCAGTCGCTCCCGTCTCTGCCCGTCTGTGCTCTCCCCTCGCAGCCTGTCAGCGGCAGCCACACGGCTGTCGGCACAGGGTCTCCGCCCTCCCGGCCCCGAGACTTCCCACGTGACCCTCCACCTGCTGGGTGCACTCTGCCTCTGAGAGCTCCTTGAGGTGCGGTGGTCAGGGGAGCCCTCTGGACCTCCCGGACGGGGTGCCTCCACCCTCCGATGTCCTCCCGGCTGGACGTGCTCATGTGGCTGTTCAGGTCTGTGTCCCAGAGAGCAGGTCCAGCCTTTGTCATAGCTGCACGCCTGAGCTGCAGAGGGCGAACACATGTGAGTCCACATGCACACACAAACACATGCGTGCACACACGCACGCACACACACCAGGCACACGCACACACACACACAAATACACACATGCACACACACCAGGCACATGCACACACACATGCACATGTGCGCACACACCAGGCACACATACACACACGCATAAATACATACATGCACACATACCAGGCACACACACACACGCACATGCACACGCATGCGCACACACACACACACACCATGCACAACATGCAGCCTTCCCTGAGCAGACCCGAATGGCTCCCACTGGCTCCGACGGACGAGCACCTCACGTTGGGGAAACCTATCTGACCCACCTCGCTTTTCTCCCGGGAGGCTGGACGTGTACCTGTGGTTTCTTGGCAACAAGCTTTGAAAACAACACAACCGTCCTCTTCCTCACCTCCCTTGTTTCTGAAGGAACGCCTCCTGCCCCACGTCTGGTGTTGTCTGACTTCGTATTCTGGGGATCACAGTCTTACCGAAACCAGAGTGGGCCCCTGGACCACTGGCACGAGACAGGAGAGTCCAAGTCTCTGCTTGGGGAGCGTGTAAGGGGGCGGGATGACGCTCAAGTCGGGAACAGCCTTCCTGAAGGGGGGCTGGTGCCAGACCCGTGAGGCGCCGACAAGCGCAGGACACAGTTCAGGGCAGGTCCTCGGG